AAAAAAAAAACTAAGAGGAAAAGAAGTAATTCTGAAAATCTGAACAGCCAGACCAGATGAAATTGAATAGGTTGCTTTGTTAGTTTTCTGCTCCAGAATTAATGTGAACTTTGATACAGAACCATTTTCTGTTTCAGAAAGGCTCACCCTGTTTGATTGAAAAGGATGTTAGTCTTATGTGGACTTGAAACTTGTCATTCACTGATAAAAAGTTTCTTCAGGTGTTAGTCCTAAGCATTTACTATTGTGCAATGTGACATGTTAGTATAAAACAAACCTTAACATAGGGATGAATGGATAATTGTATTTGCTATACATTCAAGACGTGTTTTCTCATATTCTGAATAAAAAGAAAGGTTATAGCAGTTGTGACTTATTAGGCCTTGTGTTCTATTTCTTCATCATTCCTCATGATAACCAAATCATACTTACAAATAAAACTCGTAAGAATGCAAGGATGGCTCAGTATTAAGCAACTGGTATATATAATTAAACTGTGTGGATGGATCAAAGGAAAAAATCTGAGATCAATTCATTAGATGCCAAAAGATCTTCTGAAGAAATTTACTATCTTCTTTGATTTATTATTTTAACTAGCAAAATAGGAATAAATAAATATAGCTACGTAGACATAAATAGAATCTTCCTTAATGTAATTTTTTAAATCTCCAACTAAAAATGATAATTATACTTAAACATTAGAAGCATTGCCAGGATAGTTGGGAACAAGACTACCATGCTCACTATTGCCATTTAACATTTCATTGTTGTTTAAGTCCTAGTTGATTCAAAAGAGAAAAGAGGTGTAAATTGGGAAAGAGAAGATAAAATTATGTTTTTGCAAATGCCATAATTCTTTGCCTGGAAATCCCAGAGAATTAACTGAGAAACTTTCAAAAATAAAATAATTTAGTAATGTCACTGCTTACAAAAGTAATATCTAAAATTTAAAAAAGCCTTTCCCATATATGAACCACCAATTAGAAAATACAATGAAAGAAAAGAGCCAGTTTACAACCACAAGAAAAAGTTTACCAGTTAGAAATGTCTCACAAGAAATGTGTAAGAAACCTGATGTTTAAAAACTACTGAGTGATAATAAATGACAGTTATGGGAACTAAGAATACATATCTTGTTCTTGAATCAGATTTGATATTTTAAATATATCAAATGTCCCCTAAATTGTGTAAATTTAATGCAATTGCAACCAAAACACCAACAGATTTTTTAGAATTGTTTATGTAAAATGATCTGGAAAAAGTAAGCATGAGAATATTCAGGGAAATCTGAGAAAGAAAAAAACAGTAATTATAGGGCAACTGACATTAAAATTTATTTAAAATGTAAAGCTACTGGGATTAAGATAGAATTTTATGGTGCAGATCTGTAGATAAGAGTAAAGTCCACAATACCTGTGGGAAATGATAGAGGCCTGGTGGTTAAGCAGCTGGGCACTGGAGTCGGACTGCATCTAGGTTTAAATCCCTTCTCTACTAGTCCCTAGCTCTGTGACCTTAAACAAGTTAACTTGATAAGCTTCCTTTTCTCCAACTATAAACTGGGGGCAGTAATAGAGTTTGCATCTGTAGGGCTCTCAGGCTATTAAATGAGATTATGTACCTAGCAGGGTGCCTATTCCATGGTTAAATAATCAGTAAGTATTAGTTGTTAATAGCAGTGGAATGTGTTAAAGGTAGCTTGTCAAATCAATTGAGAAAAGGTAAATTATTCACTAATTATTGTTTGGAAGAAGAACAGAAAG